ATAATCACAAACCTACAGCCACAAACACACAACCACAACCACACAACCACAAACACACAATCACACACACAATCACAAACACCCAACCACAAACACCCAACCACAGACACCATCACAAACACACAACCACACACACCAGCACAAACAGGCAACCACAAACACAATCACAAACACCCTACAAACACAAACACAAACACACAGCCACAAACGCACAACCACCAACACAATCACAAACACGCAACCACAAACACACAACTACCAACACAATCACAAACACGCAACCACAAATACAATCACGAACACGCAACCACAAACACAATCGCAAACACACTACAAACACAATCACAAACGCGCAACCACAAACACACAACCACCAACACAATCACAAACACGCAACCACAAACACAATCACAAACACACAACCACAAGCACAACCACAAACATAATCACAAACGCAACAAAAAAGCACAACGACAAACACACAACCACAAACACACAACCACAAACACACAATCACAAACACACAATCATAAACACACAAGCACAAACACAACCGGAGGATCTGAGTTGTATTATTAGTTGGGCACAGGTCTCCTGATGAAAGCATTCGCTTCGGACAAAACAGTAAGACTTGGCGCTGAAGGACTTGTGCTGTTTTGAAATGTCATGGTGGGGATCACTCGAAGTAAAGTAGTTTTTCCGTGGTCGACCGCACTCATTTTTGCAAGCTGGTAGCTTAGCAACGGGCATGTATATATTAAACAACTATAACACAACATAGTACTAATAGTACTATTAATGCAACTTGAGAGGAGGGACACACGAAAGGTATGACAGCGGGAAGAGAAGAGAACGCGAGAGGCAGGAACAAACATGCAATGTTCGACACGGTGATTTATCCCCTCGGAGGCGACCTGTCGTAAATATATAATATGCACTCTAAATGTTCAAACAATTGCTCTCGAAATGTTCAAAAAGATTCTGAGGAAAACAAACTTGCCCCATGGCTCAGATCATCGGTGAGCATTGAATCGGAGCATCATAGCATATAGGATTTGAACTATCCTGAAACCATAAGAGGCTCACGAAGACGCTCCCCAGGAGAGAATTGACGTGCTTCACAAAACAAACTCTAGGTATGTATCCCCTCGGGAAAAACACCTTTCGTGATTAGAATTTCATATGCACTCTTTCTGAATGTTCAAGAGGGTTTCAACTATCCTGAAATCATGAGAGGCTCACGAAGACGTTCTCCAGGAGAGAATTGAATTTAGAGGGGGGGTCTGTATTGAAAAATCAATTCCAAGGGGGCGGGGGTTGAATTGAATGATCAATTATTAGACCCGGACGCGCCAACACTTGCTTCGCAAGACAAACTCAAGGTATCCCCTAAAGGGCTACCTTTCGTGACATGCAATTAATGACATCCTGGACCTTCGGTTTCACATGCTTTGACCCTGGGTCCGGGAAACCCTCAGCGGCGGAACCCATTCCGGTCTCCGTCTCCGAACGCCGCCTTGGACGACACCGGACGCTTCGAACGGAGCCTTTTCGGGCATTGCGAACCGAACACTGGGACGCGTCCGCGTCCGCGGACGTTCCACGCGGGGCCTGAAGCTCCACTTTCCGCTCGAAGGGCGAGCGTTGATCCTTCGCCTTCCGCCGGTCCTCTTCGGCGCGACCGGTCACCGGGTCAACGGACCGGTCACCACCGGCCACGCGACAAAAGGCCGAGAAGGAGTGTCTCTCTCTCCTGTGCAGTCGTTGTTTTTGCTTGGGGGGGGGAGTGGGGCGCATCAAAAGGTTGCACACACTATTTGGGGTCCTAAGGATTTGAGATCCCAACGCCCGTGTGAGAAGAGATATGCTACTATGCTCCGGAGCGGCCAATCGCGGCAGAAATATAAAGCTTCGTGGACTTGCTCCAATTGCGTCAGTCATCCAACCCTTCCCGCCCGACAAAATGCCCAACGCAACAAACAAACCAACACAAGTTAAATAAGGACCTCAGCTCCTCATCTCAGCATTGCCGACCACCTCGCTCCATGCTGCGCGACGCGGCTTAAACCGTTTGCTGCGCGACTCCGGTCCTTCGGCACTTTCCGAAGCTGATTGGCCGGATTGATCTCAAAGCGCCCATCCACGTCGCTGTCCTGTCGCCGGTGTCGCTTCTTCCGCGTCGCCGCGAGGCAAAGAACAACAACGGCCGACCTGTGAGGCGGATCTTACTCCGGCTGGTGAGATGACATGGAACGTCTATGCCTATGGGACTGCAGAATTGGATCCATCGTCTGTGTCACGCGTTCAAAAAACAAAGACTCACAATGGACAAGTTGTGGGTGATGACTGCTGTAAGCTTATGATGCCTTTTGGAGTCTTTTGGTCTATCTGTTCAGCAACTCACGCTCGATACGACATCAAAACCAAAAGCACCCCATGAAACGAATTCATTCAACCGGAGCAACCCCATTCACCAGAGGCAGCACCTCGTTTCCATTCGGGAGGCCGGGGACGAACGGCGATTCGCCCGTCGTGGTGGGCAGTTGACCTTCCTGGATCCACTCAGTACCACACAAAGAAACATAGGACTATCATGGACTCATTAATGCTCCTCTCTTAGAGATTTCTCGGAATTGCCCTCCCAAACCAACGAAAACATTACTGTATAATTAAAACACTATTCTCCACTAATGATCCCTATGGTGCATTCGACGCCGTTATACACAGACGTCGCCTCCACACACCCTCGTCTCTAATATACAGCATCGTCGTTTTTTTACATGCCATGCCCTTTCTCCCGCTTCAGCTGGCAATGCTTGACCTTGCGCCTCGCCGTCTTTAGGCGCAGCAAAGACTTTCTCAGCACAGATTGGCTGAATGTAAATTGGTGAGAATGCCGGGCAAGACCTTGGATGTTAGCAGATTCCATGGTAGGGGTATGCCTGGGCATGACAAATCTTGTTGATGTTCAATCACTTTCATCAAGGCACTCTTCACATACTTCATTATGTCCTCGTCAACCATCGTGTGGCAATATCTTGCATTGTATCCTGATTTTGGGATCAGCATGCACCCCAATGCATAGCATGTAAAACACACACCGTAATGAATGCCTGGCAATTGATCCACTAATTAATTGTTGCCAAGATGCGAGTCTTCCACATGTCCCGGATCTGGTGATGGATCCCCTTGTTTGGTCCGCTGTCGGGTCATATCACTAGTACTAGTAGTTGAAGGTTCCAGTGCATACACATGCACAAGTCAACTTCACATGCGCCGTGCATGCACATGTGCACCAATATATAATTGTACATGCAGCAAAGGCGCATGTGCCTTTGGAATCATGACATAGCGTAGCCGTCCATTCCTGCCAGCGATGGAACCGAGCTCGATCGAGTGAACTTGATGGAATGCTGAGGCGCAGCATGTGGGCAAGGGGGGTGAGTCTTGAGTTTGGACGGTCCTCAAGCTCAGCCGCGAAAGGGCCTTGTAAAAGTTCAAGTACCGATATCCAAATTTTTTGATCTTGAAGGCCTCCGAGGGTGTCCTTAAAAAACAACGATGATTTGGAAGATCTACTTTTTTGAGGGTGCAACATGAACTTGCAGGGTCTTAGTGTCTAGCAAATAGCGTCCCGCTGACTCCATTGTGAGCACCAAATCATTCGCAGATACCCTAAGGTTGCTGCGTGCGCAGAACACAGTTTCTCCTTTACATGTGTGCAAGATGCCACAAGGGAGGTAGCTTAACACTTCAAAAAAACATAGCAAGAAGTAGGCCCCTGGCAAACATCCTGCAAGGATAACGTGCTCTTCTGAAGGGTGATTTTGTGCAAGTTCTGTAGCGCAGCTGGCCAACCAAGCAGTAATGCACCGTCCATTGTACATTTTGTGGGACATCAAAGGTTCAATGCCGCCAGACAAGACCTTCACAGCACGTGCGCATTCCTTTAAGATGCATATATTGTGCACGACATGCTGCGCGCACACACACAGAGGTCATGAGATATAGTTCATGATCAACAAATCGATATGTCAATCGATTCGATATACATCTGCGGTTTGCAGGGCTAGATGGTTAGTTTTCTAAGCAAAGACCTTTTTGCAGCAAAGTTGCAGATGCAGGTGTAAAGCAGGGTTGAGAGCACTGAACACGCTGTTGTTTCTTCCATGTTTTGAAACAGCGATGGGCAACTTTCAGAGCATCTTTGAGTGAGGTGATGGCCCTGTCCCCAAAGTATCCCGCATCATACAATGCCAACCTTATTTGCTGATTTCCTTTTTGTTTGCAAGAAGCTGTGCAATCAAATCAATATTCAGCATGCAGAAGACTGTTCAATACAAACATGCTTCACATGTATACAGTAAGTAGCATTGCTCCTGCGTTTGTGCGCTGAAATGTTCCAAGGTAAGCATTATGTGCAAAGCAGAACTGGATCATCTCGTAGTGGAACCCGATGACTCCAAATATCGGACCTAAAATGTGATCATGAACAGGTACTGAGGACACAAATGCGATACCGATCGATCGGTGATAAAAACCCAATCCTTCAATATGCAAATTCTTATAGCAGTACTCCTGAAACCTGGCAAAACCATGCATGGTTTGCAAGAAAACATTTTGGTTTGGAATCAATATCATGATCACATAATCTCCAAATGAGTGACACACTTGACCTTGAACCATTGTTGTCAAGAACTCTGCATGGGACACTGTAGATGGAATCCATGTCGCTGATTCAGAGAAGTCCATGTACGAGTCTTGCAAAGTCGCGTTCTCATGTCTCAAACCCTTGGCTCTGCATTTCCAGCAAATGCTGATCGATGTCCACCTGTTCCGCATGTTGAAGATGTACACATGAAAGGACCAATCTCCACGGACTTCAGTGAGTGCAAATCTATGGCGGCCCTTGCGCAAGAACTCACTTTCTCCGATCTTGCCTTGCACCTTCTGAGAAAGTGGCATGCCTCTGAAGCCAGACATCGGTTTCTTTCCCTCCCATAACTGGTTGAGACACCAGCAAATGTATGAGAGGAGCGGATACATGGTCTTGATTCCCAAACATTCTTTCTCACGTACTGCTGCAACAACAAAGCGGCTGTTTCGTGAAGTTCGAGGGGACCAGTGAATCACGTTGAGGGACAGCACAATCACTTTTTCGATGCAGCCAGACCCTTGGGTATACCTGCATTCATCTCCATGCAATCCCAAAGCTATGCGGTCTTTGTCGGCAACTCCTGGGTGCCCCTTTCCCCATGAAAAATATTCATGGGCATGGTCCCAGTACTGTGCCCTTGTAGCTCTATCGACGTGGACTCCATGCTCATCAAATAGGTATTGCACCAATCGTAATACGTCTACAACCGGTATTGGGACAACAGGCGTGCCCTCTCCTTGTTCTTCCCGATCGATTGGCGCATACACATGGACCAGCTCCTCAGATTGGGCACGTTGCGAGCCAGCAGATCGACATGTAGCGTATTCGAACTAAATTTTACGTGGTTGTCGCACCGTCCACTGTATTCGACTTCTTTCTTATATTTATATGCTAGCTAGCGAGCAAAATTGAATCGACCGATATCATGTATATTTCGATTCAGCTGACCAAAAATATTCAAAAGGTGAACAACAATCTGATCTTGAGATTCTACAGGCAAACAAGCTTGCTTCCAAAATTTGCGCGACCAGTTCCCTGCCGACTCTCCGATGTGTTTGAGTTTGGTGGTGCCTTCACTCATCAAAGAACGTTTGCAGCCATCGTGACGTCCAGCTACCTCCTTCAAACACATCATCGATCGATCGGTCAATAGGTCATGGTTTTTGAATACATGTCAGGTCATAGGTCTAGATCTACAGACTGGGACCACGTATGCATTATAAAGTAAAAGCATTGCACTGCAGCACTCTGACAAAAACAACATGTAGCAACAGCAGTCCCGCGTAGCTGAACACGCTGACTGCAGCGCTTGAGCAACACTTTCCTGCACCAGAACTTTTACACCAACACGGGATGCACACAGTGCCCAATCAGCAAATTCTAGAAGATGTACATGTAGTCTTCACAAAATGCCCAGCAGTTCAGGCCCCCACACCATTCCCAACTCGCTCTTCTAAATGTTCATGAAACGCCGATGAAGCACCTCATTCCGCGTGGCAATGCGCATAGCAAAAACCTCGAAGGACCAATAGCTAGCAGACAACAAATTGTGCGCACACTTCGGATCTGGAATTGGCGCATGTGTGCATTTTTGTCACTTCAGCTCGGCAGTTCGAGAATTGGTGACAAGGCATCTCGATGAGCCCCTACATTCAAACATCTCACAGGCTAGCTAGGCACCACGAAGCACTTGGGCGGAAACCGTCATCTCGTTTTTGTAGTCGACAAAAAAAGGATATAACTCGACGTTGGGTTTCAAGCTTTTTACGCTTAAGGGGGCCCGGGTGAACTCATGATCAAACTTAAACATCTCCACCTTCTATGTGCTCTATGGTAGTGCTTCCAACACTGCCATGCAGTGTATAGCTAGAACCCCAAATCCCCAATCACTTGATTGAGATCAGCAGTCCACTATTTCTTGTCCGATGCTGCTGGCTTCTCCACCTTCTTGGTCTTGGGAACCTCAGGTCGTGCAGGCGCGCGAACAGATAAAAAATATCGATATCGTGGCGAACACGTCGAAGATGTACATGCATGTATATAGCTTAAGCTTTATATATATATATACGTTATATAGTATACTCGATTTGTATTTAAACGTTTGAGATATTGGTTTCGCCTACTCAGATCGACCTGGTCCCACAGTTGCAAACGACCGTACCCTGACTTGTTAATTAAGTATTTTGCACTGCAATGCTAGCGCAAGTAGCTTCTACCAGCCAATGGCCAATTTACCATCAGCTCGGGCCCCAACACTGTACAAGAAATATGGTCCATAAGGGTCTCCAAGGGCCATGCTACCTTCCCCACCCGGCGCAACATTCCTACATCCTTGACGGCCCCGAAAGGTTGCAACTAATAGAATTTCCAAAATTTCTACAATGCGATTGTTCTCAGAGCAATGAATTAGCCTCATCTCTGCAAAGTTGGACTCCTTGTATTTTTGCATTCGGTAGCCAACATTGGAGCTGATCCCAATTTTGAAGATACAAACAGGCCCTCCAAAGTCTTGCACCAACAGCTCCACCTGGGAAACGCAATGCTTCCAAATTGATGCAAATGAGAATGTACAGCAACCTGGACTGTGCAGCATCTTCACCACTACACCTGGAATTGTACGCAGTTCTGAAATCTGGAACCAAGCAAGCGGGCAAGAATCCAAGTATGATGACTCCGGAATCCAGTACAAACGTTGTCCAACACAACATGTTGAACCAAACTTGTACAGAGCAGGCAACTGACAACATTGGCATGAATCCAGACCTGGTGCCAAGCAATCGCACGCTTGCAATACCCCAATCCCAGCTGCACTGCGCACCAGCTTGTATGAATATTGAGAA